TCCCATGGGGCTCAAAAGGCCTGTGGCCGGGGAATTGCTTTGGGCTACCGGAGACTTAGGGGGTGCGGGCGCTTTTCCCTTGGACGCCAAGAGACTCGAGCGAAGAGGCGTTGGGCACGACGAAGTGGTGCTCCCTTCTGATCCTCACCTCCGGCGTGGCTTTGATCCAGATGCCCCGAGGCGACGTGCAGGCGGGCGCCTCGAGCAATGCAACCAGACGCGTGCGGCCACCTTAAAGGGGAACCAATGTGCCCGGTGGCACTCAACCCGGATGCGTTCCGTGGCGCCCATAAAAAAAAAAACAAAAAACACACACACACACACACACACACACGTAGGAGGAATTTGTCCCATGGATTTCGGTGGTTTGTGATTCTGACTGTCAATCATTGATTGGTTCGGTAAAAAACCTGTTGAGTGGTCCCTGTGAACTTGGGGGGGGCAGGGAAAGACTCAGAAAAGATTTCCAACGCGAAGGAATTCACTGCATTTCTCATGTCCTTTATGACAGAACATGTATGGCCACCATGGAGTTGGCGCTGGAAGGAAGCGCCAAACAAATCTTGTTGGTTCGATAGGCAGGGAATGAGAAGCGGCATGACCCCGAGCCATTCTCTCTGGTTTTCTTTTGCTGGGAATCCCCAAAACCGGTTCATTCCCAAGATTTGGGTCTCAGAAACGAAACGACCCCTGTAAACCATCCCCTAGTTTTTCTTTTCTTTTGGGAATCCCTACATTCATTCCCAAGACCCGGGCTGGGTCATTCCCTACCTACTGTGGATGGACGGAATCCTGCACCACTTTGAAATTATGGGAAACCATTGTTTGTTGGCATTTACAGGGGAATCATCCTTCCCGGTTTCTTAGGTGGTGCAGGATTTCGTCCATCCACATGGCAAAAGCAGCAAAGCCTTGCCTCAGGCAACTCCCAAGCAGGGCAACACCATGGTGGGCCTCGTGGCAGTGCTCTCGGCCTGCATCACCAGCGGGCTGCTCGGATGCCCGCTCGGCGCGCACGTGGCCGAAGGTGGAAAAACGCGGAAGGACTCGGAGAGGGCACGGGTTCTTCTAAGGCCGCGTATTGGGATAACATGAAAGCACCAGGAAAACCAGGAAAGCCACATATTTTTGGTTCTTGTCCTTTCCATTGACCAGGGCGCTTGCCATCCTGGGGTTACCCTATTTATGAGCCCCATGTTGCGGGGTGTCGTTCTCCAAGGGACGCGAGTGGCACGCTTTGAGGGCAATGGCTGAATGCTTCGCCCAGGCTGGCAGGAGTTTACTTAGAGAAAATCTTGAAGCAGACGGACTCCTCGATCTGGATGCGGCCGCTTACTTGCACCTTTCGATGGGTCGTCTTCGACGGGATGGCTGTGAGAAGGGGGCAGTCTGGTTTGGGACACTTTCTCGGAGCAACCCTCACATCGCTAAAGTTTGCATTGGCTTCGGTTGTGACGCACAGTGGCAGAGCCGCTTTGCCTGCCCCGATTCATATTTGGCCAGCCATTTCTGCAGGAATCTCCGGTGCGCCCGGCCCTGGCGGGGTTCCATTCCCATTTGTGAGGAATTCGTGCATAGACGAGATACGCTCCAACGTTTGTTGCGCGATTCCTCTGGGTGAGAATGGGAGTTAGTCGAGAGGAACATCCAGTTGGCCTTCTTCGGGGGCATCTTGGCCTTCCTGGGCTGCTTCATGCAGGACGGCCAGCAGATCCAGCAGAATGGCTTCATGCAAGGCCCGTCAGCCCGTCAGCCGCCCTCGCGCCGGTGGAAGCGAGGTGCTTCTTTTTTTTTTTTTTGGGAAGATACCATTTCTCCGGCCTTGCCATGGTGACACGGGGTCCCTTCCAGAGGAAAATTGTGTTCCAGGGTCGGCTTCATATTAGTTGGTGGGAGGGTACCCTTTTTACACCAAAGGGAAGGGGGTCCGCATTCGGAGACGCCAGGATGGGGCGTCGGTTGGCACAATCATGGGCCTTGCTAATGTCCTGTTCTTGGGGTGGATGCTGAAGACTCAACACCGGGCAAGGATTCGGCCTAGTTAACCAAGGTTTCCGAGCCTGAAGACTTAACACCCGGGTGAGCTTTGACCATCTGCTCGAGACGTCGAGGGACTCAAAAGATGTTCAGCACAAAGCGGCATTAGGTCATGAAGAGCAGCAGTACGTTGCAAACAGTTAAACTTGTTGCAGGGCTGGTTACATCATGTATAGATAGAGTTCACCCTGCTTCCATGAGAGGTTTGCGTTGCTTGGACGGGTCTATGACCCATGTGGCACCTAGCAGAGGCTCTCTTGCCAGGCTACTCTTCGCTGGTGTGGGCGGTCATTGCGCTCCAGGCGCACCGTTGGGGTGTCAAGCGCGTCTTTGCCAAGAGAACATCTCCTTGGGGTGCGGTTCGGTTTCGTTTTTTGGTTGGCAGTCTTCTTGGGGTTGTTTTGAGAGAGAATCAAGCATGATGTGTTTGAGGGTGGGTCTAAATTCCATTTGAAGACAGGCCCTTCTGCCTTGTTTTCCACAGTAGATGCCTGGTTGCTTGCTTTCTGTGCTGTGCGGTGCTTTGCCTTGCTTTGCTTTGCTTGCTCGCTTGCTAGGGATGTAACGCCAGGCAGTCGGCGGGCTTGTGGTTGCGGCAGTGCTGAAGTATGCCGACAACATCCTCAAATGTTTTGGCAATGCGATGTCCATCGCATCCCGGCTTCACTTTTTAAAATGGGTGTGTGGGTCCAGAGAGGTCTGCGCCAGTCCGCGCCAGTCTGCGCCAGCTTGCACGCCTCTTGAACACTGGTTCACTGCAATTCATTCTCTTTCATCAAATTTGCTACAGCTTGACCAATGCTAGAGTCGACCCTGCACTTTCCAGCTGGCACATCACACCTACCTCCGAGATGCGAAGAGTTGAAGTGAGCCTGTGACTGCATGAGAATCCTTGACATGCCGCAAACCATTTGAGCAGAAACCCAACACCCCAAAAAGGCCATTTTAGTCGGTTTTGGGTTAGAGTCAGGGCTATGCTCGCATCTCATTAGGATCAAGCTAAGGTCATTAGCTGCCTCCTGTCCAGCGTTTTGCTGAAGGCAGGGACTGCCGGAATGATAGGGGTGTGAAGAAAGCTTCTGAACCACGTGCCCCGTTTGGGGTTTGCACAAGTTTGCTCACTTCCAATTCGCCAACTAATCGAAAGGCTTTGTTCCTCACATGCATTCCCCTGCCGTCCACACCTCTCGGCCTGCCTACCTTTGTCACCAGCCGACAAGGGGAAGAAGCTGATCTTGTTTGATGTTTCACGCAGGAGTTTGAGCCGGACATGCACTTTGTGCTGGGCACAATCTTGGTCATTGTGGCTACCACGCTCTACAGTGTCCCGACAAAGGGCAGTGGAGATGCTTGTGAATTCGCCCGCTAAACCCTAAACCCTAAACCCTAAACCCTAAACCCTAAACCCTAAATCGTAAACATTTTGCTCGCAGTCTGCTTTTGCTTCAAGTTCTGGACCCGCGAATCTAGTATGTGTTGTCGGCGGAGATACGGTTGATGTGTCAAAACTATCTTGTCTTTGCACGTGGTGGCCTATTCACGTGCCCTGGGGTTGTTGCTCAGCATCAATCAGTTTAGCATGCAGCTGGCACTGCTATGTGTTTGTTCTCTTTCATATATGCTGCAGTTTTCACAACTGCCTCCATCACCAAAGCAGTGTTCTGTCAGCCATTTGTGGAGTATGAACATCTTGCCGGTTTGCCGGGCCGACTCGGTTAAACAACGTTTCTGTTGGGTCTTCCAGCATCCCAGATTGATGGTTTTTGGGAGCTAAAAGGAAAGCATCCGCTTGTTGCATCATCTTCGAACTAAGGCATTGGTGTGCCACAAAGCATAATGCGGCTGCTGAGCAACGACAAAGAGAAAGTCGAGGACGCGGAGAAGGTGTAAGCAGCGGGCAAGTTTTGAGCGCCAGTGGAGTGAATCTTGTGAAGCTTTCGATTCTGCCAAAGGACATCCTAAAGCTCTTTCAAAAAAAAAAAACATCATGGTCAGAATTCTTGTTTTGAAGCACAGAGGCAAACGCCCGGTTCAGAACCAAAGGGAGGCTGTCAAAAAGAGTGTTTCCAATGTACTCAAACTGAAGGGAATGGATGTTCGGATTCTTGTTTTCGAGGATTTGTTGATGCGAAATTCAAACAAATTCCTTCCACTTGGCTGACTCGGCCGTCCCATCGGCCGAGAGAAGCCGAGCCCGGAAGGAGGCACGAGCAGCGAGTGAGTCTTTGAATGCTGCGCAGAGCACGTAATCCAAAGCGATGCGTTTCTCGCCTCCTTGTTTCAGAAGGACTGACACTTCTCGCTCTGCTCGCGTGCGAATTGCATCGAGACGCGTGCATTGCAGATAGTTTTATGCCAAGGATTCGCTCAAGAGGTGAGCTAGTTTGAGAATGATGAATTGCATCCCCATTTCGTGGAATGCAAAGTGTGGCTGTTATTAGTTGGCGAGCTTTGTGTGGATGTGTTTACTTTCCGCTCTGCCTTGTGAATCCCGTATGCCGCGGCTGAGTTGTCATTGGTTTGTGCCTGCGGAAAAAGGTGAGTGGTGCGGATTTGGTTGCCGGTGACATGAAAAAGGGCACTATTGATGATTGCCCCGAAAGGGTGATGCCATGCAATGCGCCCACTGGGTGGCTACCATGAGGCTACTGCCCGCAGGTTTCAGGCGTTGTGAAGCAATATTGACAGAGCAGCACATTGCCAAATGAGACAAGTTCAAATTACGGGCTGGGACTCTGTTGCCCAGTGGCACCCTTTTTCCATTTTTTGGGGAGGGTTCCCCTTTAAAGGCAACCGTGGCAACCAACCAAAAAAGGATGCCCTTTTTTCCCATGGCCACTGGGCATCTGGGGGGATTTTTTCTCACAAAAAGGGGGGTTGTAACCCATGCCGGGGGCACACAGCCCCTGTTCGGGCGCCTTTAGAGCGCCTTCAACAAGTCCCGGCCGCTGGCATGCGCCAAGGTTCAATACGTCGAGAAGATCGTCGAGGCTCGGGTGCAGGAAAGAGCAGCGACGGATGCCGCCTTCAGCGGGATTCACGGAAGTTGTTCCTGGAAATGTCGACCCTAGGTTGGTGAGCCTGTTGAATTATGGGGGGGTAAACGTTTAGAAGTGAAGTAAATTAACCCCCTCTAAACTGGGACGTCCCCCCAATAGATCGTAAGAGGTTTATCAAATCCTGGGTTTTTATTACTCTTTCAGTACTCCTTCCTTCCTGGCATGGGTCAGAGATGCTGATCGTTCTTGTTTCCTGGCCGGCTTGACCCTTTCTTCGCCCAGATGAGATTCATTTGTGTGTTACAGATGTTGTTTTACAATTGCTATGTTTTGTTCTATTCTTCGTTCTTTGGTTCAGGTTGTTATCTTTCCCCGCTCGTTGGATGCAGGGCGGGAACTCCTTTCCGATAGGTTTCGTTCAATGCCGTTCACGGAATGCTTGCGAGGATGAATTCACATGTCTTTGGACATGTTGTTCCAGTTGGAGAGGTGCGTGTCCCATTTTGTTTGCGTATCTTGTGCAACAAAAGCGACCGGTTTCAGTAAACTTGTTGGTGCGGGGAGCTGCCGCAAGGCAGACAAGATGTCAAGTGACTTTCTCTGGAATTCGGCCCGTCTTTTGGTGGAATCCGAAAGGAAACCGAAATCATTTTAGGGGGCCAATGGATTTATGTTGATAAACACACCGAGATGTCTCCAAATAACTCCCCCCTCCCCGCGCTTTCCCGCACCCCCAGCCCTTTGTGTTGGGTTTAAGCCTGTGCGACACTCGTTTCGCGTTCAGGTGCCGAAAGTGGAGGTTCAAGAGAAGTACGTGGATGTGCCTACGACCTTGTACCAGGAAAGCACAAATGTGTTAAGATGTGGTCACATCTTCCAAAAAACCTTTAGCTTCTATCGGAACATTTTCTCATGCCTTGGCAGAAAGTCTCGTGTAGATAAGGTCCCCAATTGAATGTCATTCCCATCTAAGGGAAGCGGCCCATGCACAAAGGGCTCATGTTGAAAGTGAAGCTGCAAACCAAAGCTTCCAGTGCAGCTACCATTCATACGACGGGGACGTGCTGGACGGTTTCAACAGAAGCTAAGTAGGCTGCTTCCTTCACTCCCTGTGAAAAGGCTGCCAAGCCATTGTCATTGAAGCCAGGCGAACCAGGGTTGGTTTAGGGTTGGCTTCATTTGTGTTGAGGTTGGCTGAGGTTTTTAGTGGTTTTGGGTTGGTTTGGAGTTGACTACAAAGTCTGTTTAACGCTTGATTCGGGTTGGTTTAGGGTTGTATATCGCCCCCATTTACCCCTTCAAAAGCCCGAATTGCACGGATCTCTGTACCCCCCCCTCCCCCCGCGGATGTGACCCTGTAGATGTGGTACTTATTGTGGGCTTGCTGGTTTGTTGTTCTTTGCCGTGCTTTGCTTGCCCTGTATCGTGCACTGGGGTACCACCACTGGGGATTTGGCTTCGGGCTTGCTGGCTCTGCTTTGCCGAGCCTAGGTATGCTTTGGCTTGCTGGCTTACTTGAACTGCTGGTGTGTGTGTGTGTGTGCTGCGCCTGTCTGTTGTGAACTGCCACGCTTGTCCCTGCAGGCTCCAAATGCTTCTTGATCGTCGGATTTTTCGTCACGCGCCCTGTCGGCCTGCTCATAGTCTACAAATTATTTGAGTCAGAACGCGGAGTTTGCTGGGCGCTTGCCACGCTTCCCACGCGTGTGGGCCATTGTGGCGACATGTGATGATGGAGTGGCGAGTCCTCGCGCCAGGAACCACAGGCGGCCTTGACCTGTATCAGAGTCTTTCCGGAGGTCAGTTGTCTCTCGCCCGCCTGTTTGTCAAGGAGCTGGCCGGTAAGGTATGGGCCAAGGTGCCTGGCAACTTCTTCTTGAGACTGAATTTTGCTTCGTTGGTTCTGATTGACTCGAGCTTGGCAGCCCTCTGCAACCTTCAGCCAAGTGCGCTAGGCCAACAGAGCTACCAGGTCTGGCTTTGCTTTCTGCAGCGTGGATTACTCAGGCGGGCCGTTTTCGCTGGCTCAGCGAACAGATGGCCATGACGCGGAGCCACCCGTGGCTGGGCGGCGGACAGACAAGTCTCGCGATGACTGGCGTATTGCTTGGGACTACCACGCTATGCTGTCATTCGCCCAGGCTCGAGAGAACGCCCGTAGCCATAAGGCCGCTCCAGCTGAAAGTCGAGCTCCGGCGCCCTCGTCTTCAAGGCTTTTATGTGTGCAAAGAATGTCTGCCGGGTGTGTGACCGACCCGGTGTATGTCACGCGGCCGCAAGAGCTGCAATTGCAATCGCTTAAGGGTTGCAGTTGTAGGCCCTTAAGGGTTGCTCTTGCACGCCCTTAAGGGTGGCGCACATGAACCAGCCGCAATTCGCAAGTTGGGTTGTCAAGGCGCGCGCTTCGGGCCTCTGGCAAGCATGTAATTATCCCAGACACAGTATAGAGTCCACAGACATAGATGTATCGTGTATCGGTTGAATGCATGATTCACCGATTGAATTATGTATTCTCCCCAAGCCCCCAAAGATCCAGCCCCCTCCCCCCAAAAATGAAATGTCTCAATCTCCCCTGCCTTTCCCCCCAAAAACCAACTAACACAAGTAAACAACACACACACACACAAAACCCGGTAAGACCCCAAGACCACACCAAGACCTCCCCCCCCAGTTTTTCATGCTCTTGTTGCTAGGAGAAGGTGGTGGAGGTGCCCAAGCTGCACGTGGCCGAAGTGGTGAAGCAGGTGCCCAAGATCGAGGTGCAGGAGGCGAATCGATGCGGAGAGTTCCGAAGGGATGGGAGGGGCCTCTAGTACCACCTGCTGCAATTTTTTGAAGGGGATTCACACCCAAAGGGGGGTTGGGGTAACAGTATGTGTGTTTTTTGAGGCTCGGCAACCTTTTTCAGCATCAAGAAGATCGAACGCCTGTTTTGGGGTCGCCCTATTTTGACACGGTCGAAATTGTGACCACCGCTTGTTTCCTTGCGAATTTATGACTACCACTTGTTTCCTTGGGGTAAGGTGAAAACTGGGCACCCTGAAAGTGGTGAGAGGAGGGCTTCCGCTTCTATGCCACCATTTAGATTGCTTTGTTAAATTGCACCCATTTGCGTGGTCATTTTTGGGATTTCACTTCACTGAACCCGCTAGCAGACACTCTCTGTCGCAATAGCCGTCTCCTTTACAATACGTTTTTACCTGGTTCTTGCACAGGGAAAACCCAAGTCTCCGAGAGAGAACAACCTGTAACCCGCCCCTTCAAGTGATCCTTCGTTCTCAATTTCTGAGGCTGCGGAAGGTGGCGCTTAAACCCACTGCCCGGCAAGACGACCAGCGCATGGAAAAAATGAATCGCAAACCAAACCCATTGGTCAGCGCCAGCAAAGCGATCTCAGAGAACCACCCAGTTGGCATTCGCTTTGTTTGGATGGTGCCCCGTTTTGAGGTTGTTTTCAAGGAGCACGAAAAGGGCGCCGGATGCTGAGGGGCATCTCATGAGCCGAAGCCAGGTCATGAAGGAGGTGGCCAAGCCCATCACCGAGGTCTATGAAAGGGAAGTGGAGGCGAGATTCTGATGGGTAGAAATTTTGGCCCAAGCCTTGTATGAGTGCCCTCTTAAGGCCTAGTCGCCTTTTTGGCGAACCGCCCCATTTTGCCCATTACTTGAAGTTCTCATGTTGTGTGTCTCCATATTTTTATAGTCGCCAGTCCAGTCGCCAGTCGCCAGTCGCCAGTTGCCAGTCGCAGTGAAGCGAAGGATGAAGGTTAAGTGAAGGACAGTGCCAATCATGAAGAGGTGCAAGACCAAAAACACTTTGGTGGCAGGCTTTAATGATTTACATGTGCAAGCCCCTGCCTGAAGCACCATCAATATTCCCAGCGGGGGAATCAATTTGGGCACAGAACGCGCTCACCAATCGGGCTCACCCACGAGAAAGGTCTCTTACTTGGAGGTTCCGAATTTTAGGTTATCAACTCAATGTAGTTCATCCAGATGTTTGTTTGTTTGTTTGTTTGTTTGTTTGTTTGTTTGTTTGTTTTGGGGGGTGGGTTCGTGTTGGGAATCAACGGATGTGGCTATGCAGGTGCCTAGCTGGTGACCAGTCTCACTGAGATCGCCGGGATGTCTCGGCTCGAGAACTCGCGTCAGAATAACCGCAGCGTCAGGTGGGAATGTCCCAAGCAGTGCAGCGCCCCGTTGTTTGTTTTGTTGAGTAAGAAAGCCGGGCTATGCAAGTTTTGGGCAATTTCCCCTGATTCATTCGCCAGGTCGCACCAATCGTTCGTGTTTTCCGTGTATCTTCCATAGGTGGGGTGTGTGTGTACTTCCCCAGAATTAGCTCCCCCTTTTCCTTTTTTGTTTTTTTTGGGTCCCCTTTGTTTTCCACTAACCAGGCAAATATATATATATATATATATATATATATACATATATATATATATATTTGCTGGGGTCGTAATTCCAGCCAAGTGTATGTGTGTGTATGTTGGGGTATTGAGGGGGTTGGATCCCAGTTAACCTTGCCCCCATCTTCGACTCATGAGCCGCTGCCGCAGCGATGTGGAGCTTCTGAGGGTGTTGCAGGGCCCAGATCCGGAAGGCCGGAATGTACAGGGACGTCGGTGTTTTGTTGGGGGTTGTCTACATGGGGGGGGGGGAAGGAACACCCCGCAATGTGAGTGGTTTCCTTTCTTTAACTTTAATTTCCCAGCCAACAGCCAAGCCTCGAAAATGGTAGCCTCGAGGAGAAAACCAATCGTGCGCAGCTGGTTTTTGGGATCCGTTGGAAGTAGGGACGACGCAACATTAGTGTTGCCAACACGTTCGAGTTTTGGCAAGCGCGGTGTCCTTCTCTCCTCTTCATCATTATTATTTTGCTTCGTTGCGCGTCTGTCTGTGTGCCTGCTTGCCAGCCCGCTCGCCAGTCCGTCTGTCTGCTTGTCTTGTCTGCCTGTCTCAGTCGTTCGTTTCTTTCTTTTCCCCTTCCGCTCACCACATGTATTTTGTCGTTCTTGGTAATTGGGTTGGAAACACATGGGGGTTGATCAATATTGCTTGCCCCAGAATGACCATGGGTAGCTTGTCCCACTGAGTGGTGAAAGTCGAATCCCTTTTTTGTGGTTTCCCTGATGGCGACCCCATGCATGTATCACGGACCTTTTTGATCAAGCCTAATATGGATGAAGGTTGTTGATAGCGCACCCTTCTCAGGGTTGATTCCCCATTCTTTCCGGCCGTTTCCCTGGGTTTCCGGAGGTTTTCTAGAAAGATTCGAATCCCTGGAAAGAATGGGGAAGGTAGCACTAGAACCCTGGTAAGGCTGGCGGCCAAGGTTCTTGAGGAGACAAGCCGAGTCAGGAACCACATGGCTGTGGGTCAAAACCAATAGCATTTTGGGATAGGTGCACCATCCATTTTAGGACCCATTTCAGTGGTTGGATTGGGTCCGGTCCACCGGGGGTACGATTTGGATTTTGAGATGGCCACAGGTGTTCATTTTTGTTGATTTGGTTGAAACATGGGCGATTCCTGGTTTGCCTGGTGGTTCAATCAACTACCAGGGATATCCCTGCCCTGCCTATTTTCCACCAAACCGGGCACCTATGTTCTTGAGGCGACAAGCCAAGTCAACCACCTGGTTCGCTCCTTACAGCCAGAGGCGCCCTGGGCCCCTGGCTGCAGCGCTTCCGGGGCCGCCCCTCGGGCGCCACCTCGGCCCTGCGGCAGCTGCCGCCCGGCGCGGCGCAGCGGCTGCTGCGGCTGCTGCGCCGTGGCCAGGTGGGAGTTGGCGAGAGGGGCGTCGGGTATGCTCAGGTGTCCTTTTTTGTTGTTTTGGTCGGAAAAGTAGATGGCGATTTTTCTGGTTTACCTGGTGGTTTAATCACAATCCCCAAAAAAGGACATCTATGGTAGCCCGTACCAAAAGGACATCTATGGTACCCCTTACCTAAATGGTACCCAATAGAAAGCAAAGCTAGGTACAGGTGAAAGAACAAAAGATTCCAGGTTTGCCAAACATGTGCTTCTCAGGCACGTTCCTAGCCCCTATGGCTGACCCTGAACCAAAGCAATACTACATCAACACTGAATAAGACCTGGCATTACTAATTGTCCTTTCTCCCACCAACATGGCACCTGAAAGGGGGTCCCTCCAAGAGGAACTTGATCTTCCAGGTACCCTCCCACAGGTGCCACGTTAGTTGGAGGGAGGATAAGTGCTTAGTAAGCCTGGTGACCCACCAAAAGCCATGGTTTTGTAAGTCTTCGGCTTTTGTGGGTTTTCTCAGGCTTAACCACTAAGTACCATGCCCCTTAAATTATTCCCCTTCCTTTAGGGGAATAGAAAGGGAAACCTAGGGGGGTACTGAGGGAATACTAGAGTTTGCAGGGGCAAAAGAGGGGGTCCATACTGCTTTTGTATTCGCCGGGGCCTTTTTCGAAATCTTCACAACCCCCCCCCCCCCCGCAAAATGATATGGGAGATACAAGAAGAACAACGATGACCCTTAGCAAGACATGAGTGCTGCACCCTCGCGTGCTACACTTGCGCTTAAAAGCTGCGACTGTCTAGCCGGAGCGTCAAAGTGTACTGCGCGTACTGCAGAGCCGGAGCTGGCAAAGAGTACTTTGCGTACGACACCTGTAAATAGAAGATGCGACTTTCGGAATTTCGAGCCCCGGAAGCCAAAAACCACTGCAAACTATAAGGAGTAAAATTCGAAGACCCCGAAAGGGTGGAACTGTTTGTCACCTCCTTTTCACACAACCCAGGTGCTTGGTATTGCTTGGCTTTTTGTCTTGTTTTCCCTGGCGTTTCCCAGGTTTTCCAGTTGAATGTTTAGTTTGTGTTTTTGTTCTCCTTTTGTCTTTTTCTAGGTTTCCCTTGTTTTTTCATGGTTTTTCAGTTGGTTTGAATTCCGTGGTTTCCTTTGCTCTTTTTTGATTGGTTTCCGCAAGGTTTTCCAATTGATTTTGAAGTTCATGGGTGTTGCCATTGTTTTTTTATTGGTTTTCCCTTAGTTTTCTCTTGTCCATCCGGTATTTAGACCATCTTAAAACGCCGATATGTTTGTTCTCACGTTTCCGCAGTGGTCGATTCTGGAGAGCACGGCAGTCCATGCCAAGCATTCTCTCCCGTGCAGGTTCAGCTCGATGCTCGGCAGGCATGTGCGCTGTGCGGGTGGCTTGCGTAGGCTTGGCAGGTTGCTTGACAATAGCGTTTCGGCGTGATTTGTGCCGCCTTTGCATGGGGCCCCCTTTAACCCTGTGTCAGCAGTCTGTCAACCTGGCTTGCTCTGCCCGGACTTGGGACAGTGCCCAACACCGTGGCCACTTTAGGTAGTTCCTATATTCATGTTGGGAAACACCTCATGGAAGATGACGACCTTGCGGATACCTCTCAGCCGTTCTATGCTTGGAAAAGCCGGTCAGCCCTCTCACCCACCATTTTGCGTGCCGAAGAAGTCAGCTCTCGGGTGAAATGGGCTCAGCTGAGCCCGAGCCATCTCAAGCATGGGCGAGGTTCCGACCTTTTTGAGATTCGGTTTTTCTCCAAGGCATCGCCCGGTGCATTGTTTCCCTCATTTGTGACAAACACCTGAGTCACTTGCTCAAAACCCGGCGAGATGAAGGTTAGTAAGGGACGATCCCAACCAGAAATAGCTGCAGCCGCGTTCTAAATTCTTTAGATGGCTCTGGGATTACGACCAGTTTAATACCGGGTTTTGATTGTGGCAAACACCTGTGGCTTTTTCCTTTTGCCTGACCCGAGGACATCTTCCACGTGAACGCAGCTCTGGACGTGTGTGCCAAGGAGCGCAGGGCTGTGCGAGGATTGGCAGCGAGCCCCTTCAAGAAGCGTTTCAATCAAAATTGGGGCCCACTTCATTGGAACCAAATTAAGAAAAGGGGTTACCAATTTTCATTGAGCCAAATTTCTTAGAAGCAACCCCTCTAGTAAGGGTTACCAAAAACTGGATCAGTTGCGACGAATCCATTTGAAGCGATCTCAAGCTACTGGGGTGAACTCCCTCGCCCCCAATAAATGGTTGAGGTGTCCTTGGTTGCCCTTCACAAACACCAACCAAGAGGGCCCTAGCAAACCACCACAGAGGCCGGCAAGCGGCAAGCCGCGCTTGAAGGGTGTCCAATTCCAAGACAGAGAGACTCAGATCGGGATTTCGGTTTGGAATCCTCAAATGACATCAGCTCACATGTCTAACTTCCATGCTCCGTTCGGAGGTGTTGCGAATGTAAGCACTGAAAGGGAATAGACATAGTTGGATAATATCCGAATCGCGTCAGTGGGGGCCTTTCAATCCAAAGAAGCGCTCAAGCCGACTGTCGCAGTTGTTGTGGCTGGACAACCATCCCAACTGGTTGGATACACAAGCAGCTTCCCCGTTTCGCTGAACCCAACTCTCAACCTACCACATGTGGAGGGAACTTTCTGTTGAGGTGTTTTTTTGGTCAAACTCTCCACTACCTCCCACCACAGGGTTCATGTGCAACGGTACTTGATACCCACATGAGTTTGTCCTTCTTTGACGGTATCTTTGAAGT